ACTCAGTGTTATATCTTTTACACTCATTACCTTGAACACTTTAGTAACACAATCATTAAAATAATCTCGTTACACTCAGTGTTATATCTTTTACACTCATTACCTTGAACACTTTAGTAACACAATCAATAAAATAATCTCGTTACACTCAGTGTTATATCTTTTACACTCATTACCCTTGAACACTCTTAGTAACACAATCATAAAATAATCTCGTTACACTCAGTGTTATATCTTTTACACTCATTACCCTTGAACACTTTAGTAACACAATCATTAAAATTATCTCGTTACATTCAGTGTTATATCTTTTCGTTTGATAGTAGCTCATATGAATTAACCACATCCAGTATTCTATTTTCACCTCTACTCTATCCAATTATCTGTCTTCGTGGTAAGTTTTAAACAGCTCGAAATAATCAATTTTTAACCAGTTGAAATACTATATGCTGTAACTGTAATACTGTTTACCTTAACAGTGAAAGTATGTACTGTACTATGAAAGTATGTATTTTCCCTTTTGTTTCGTAATATAATTACAATACAGTACTGTTTTCTGAGAGTTGACGTCAAATAGCACGTTTTTCCTTACCAAGTAACTCCAGCTTCTCACAAGAAAATCTCATAGTCGGTATTATTGGCATCACTTTCTACTGAATATTGTAATCAGTGTAAGTTTATATTCACCGTGTACTCAACTTTTTTTCACCACATACACCAACTTGCTTGCGAACAATCACATCAGACACTTATAATTTATTTACTAAACGTATTACAAAGATTTTCTATTTAAACGTTTAAGTATTATTTCGTACAAGAGCACATCTGATAATAATTGATGTATTGTTTTCTCTTGGTTACAGTTTTCATTAGTCCAAACATTACATTAATGAGTTAATAAAGGAACTTCTCAGTTGTTAGAGTAACTTGTATGTAAGTTTCTTTTATAAAAGTGTTCCAAATCTAGTGCCATGGCATTTCCTGTATACTTAAAAACACCTATAAACAAGTAATCATGTGCACGTATTCCAAAAAACAAAGACTGAATTCATGTTCATTTTTCTTTGAACAAAGTGCACTCAGTTACATTACAGTTACATATCTGTAAGTCTCTCTGGACAAATGGATTTATGTCCAATGTTAGAATTTCAACATGATATTTATTCAAAAAACATAAATGCATGTGGTAGTTTTTGGGGTTTCTCAAATATCATTAAATATATAGCCATTCTAATTCGTCAAATGTTACGTAATATCGTTTAAAAGACTAAAATGCTCTAATGCTCGTGTAAAATGCTCTAATTCCAAATATTTAGTCTTAGAAGTTCTTTAGTATTCATACTAACTCGTGTGAATATCTCCATTAACGGCTTTAATTCATGATATTCGATATTATTCTTTCGTTGGATAGAATAAGTAGTGCAAAAGTATATTTAAAGAAACAATACTAACTGCAATACCAGTAACTATATCGTCACTACATTTCTACAACAGATACATAACGTTTAGTGCAAGTCTCTGAAAAAAAGGCTCTATGGTCAGTTTCAATGATACTCCATCCATACTTACGTCAACCTGCCTACAAGTCTCCTTGAATAAATATCTCTAAATCTACTAATAGTAATGTTGATGGTCATGGCAACCCTTAATAATGACTCAGACTTTAGTGCAAAACTCTTGCATAAATGCTTTAGGTCAAGTAGCCACGATAAACCTTCCAGCTTGTGTACAAGTTAGTTGAAGACAGTGCTCTAAATAAACTGAGCAAGTAAATCAAGTACGGACAGAACATATACTAATTACTCAAAATCTTATTCATTGAAAATTATTACAAAGTTTATGGCGTTCAAACAATGTACACACAAATAAATTAGCTTAGTACTCCTTAAAAACTATGTTTATCAGATATAAGTTGATCTGAACTAACAATACTGTTAGCCAAAATTACGAGTCCTAGCTTAACAAAAGTAACAGGGACGCCATTTTGAAATGTGTCCTAGTCCTAGGTTACTAATAGATCTTTGTCAGTTTTGTTGTTTTCCATTTAGACTAATAGCTGGAGTAAATTACTGCTTTCATATGCAAAATAGTGTATATAAAGAAATACGTTAATAAACGTCACTCAAGTTTAAACTCACTAGATATATATAGTGGAACTTTCTGGTCAACACTAAAAAACTTAAACTCTAGGGCAAAAATATTGTTTGTTTATTTTTAAAAATTTCACTCAAAGCTACACGAAGCGCTAACCACGCACAGCTAGTCCTAATTTTGAGCTGGCAACTAGTTACCAAAACTACCACCAAATATCGAACTACTCTAACTGAATAGTAGTGGATTTGTACATCTCTCTTATAATACATTTACGATCTCAAAGAGCATAGAGCGGTTTTGGAAG